ACGATGGCCTGGACCCCTCGGTGGTGGCAGACCCCAGCCATGCCCTGCAGCTGGCTCAGAGCCGCTCAGGAGGGCCCTCTCTCCTGCCGGCGCGGTCGGCTTCTCAGGGCCGTGGCAGATGCCACTCTGCCATGACCTGGCGGGGAAGGGGAGCGAGCGGCCGTGGGCCGAGCGGGCGGTGGCAGCCCTGCCACCGCCACCGCTTTGCAGAGCCCTCGTCCCAGCCGTGAGGCTTGGCGTGAGTCCGGTGGAGGGAGAGTTTCCTCTACCCCGTTCCCCAGCTTATCCCCTTCACCTTACGGCAACCTCCTGGCCGAGCTCTTGTTCCGTTCTCCGAAAGAGGGAGGTGGGAGATTCCCGGCGAGTCAGGCTTCCGTGGGGTAACTCCAGCAGCAGGTGTGAGCTGAGCAGGCTGCGGGCAACTGAGGGTGCTGAACTGAGACGCCACCTCTCCAAAATGAACCCCCTCAGGCCGGCTGCCAGTGTTGCACCGTGCGGGTCACAGGCCGGGTGGGAGAGGCAGCAAGCATGATACATCTCGGAGGGAACTGGTGTATTGCGCTGTCGTTTTCAGAAGCAAAGTGGAGAGATGGGGCAGGTTGAAACTGAAGGGGCCTTGTGATCCAGTCGGCCAGCACCCACCTTACTGCAGACTGCAGCTGGCAGCGGCTTGCTGCCAAACTGGGAGCAGATGTGCTGAGACGCTGTGGAGGTTTGCCTGGCCTATGGTGTGGGCAGCATTACCATCAGTGCCTTGAACGTACTTGTGTCACAATATCAGAGCATGCTGTGCAATGGCTTGTCTGAACGCAGGAGGGTTTCAGCTGTAGAAGTTAATTCAGTAAAGCCCAAGTACTGCAGGCTATGTTCAAAGAGCTCACTGTCCCAGTGCAGCGGGGTGCCTGTGCGCAGGATGCAGGAGGTGGGGTGGTCTCGCCTGCGCAGGGTTTCAGATGCCACATGCTGGGTAGGAGCCACCACTTGAGATAAACTTCAGGAGGCATTTGAAGAGTGTGACCTATAAGGGACAAGGAGAGGGACTGGAATCGTTTCAGAGAAGAGGAAGGGAAGCTTTCACATCTGTTAACATCTGCACATATCTCTCAGGTCTGTCTTGGTACAAGAGCCTTTACTACCTTCCTCCCCAGGGAAGAGAAGTAAGGAAGCCTTAGCAGCATTACTGGGGAAGGAGCTCCTCAGCAGCAGGTCTAGTGGCACAGGGACAGGTTTTGTGAGGAGCTGGCTGAGCCTTCTTCAGGGCAGAGCCAGTAGTGCGGCTCATCTAACCTGGATCTTCAGGTATACTTGATCCTCACTGAGAGGGGGTGGGGGTACAAGTTAGCTGCCCTCTTGAGGTGCCTTTTAGCCCTCAGGATTTAAGAAATACTTTAGTAATTGCTCTGTGACATTCTAAAGCCTGGCTTTGGCTGGCACCCTTCATATAACTTGATCTTCTGAACAGATCCCCAAATGTCACAACTAAGCACTTGAAGCAAGGCTGGCTGTCCTCTTGCCTTGCCCTGCAGAGCCCATGTTCAGCTCAGTAAACTGAACGTTGCAAAATAAGCCTGGGAAGGAGGCAAGAGTCCCAATCCACCTTGGCTGCTGAAAACTGGGTAAGGCCTGAAGAGTCCCATGTAGCTTGCAGTGGCTTTGTTGTTTGTCCCGAGAGGTGCATTCATGGCTTGTCGCCATATGACCTTCTGTTTTGCCTGGATGAGATCGGGGATGACAGCCTATCTCCAGCTGCAGAGTGGTGTTGAGGTGGCTAGGATTGCCCGTCCCTCATCATGTGCCTCCGGATGGCCAGGCAGACGCCAGAGTGCTCAGGGTGGTGCCGCTGATTCAGGTCACAACTAGCTGACCTCCTCACTGTGCTGTGCCGCAGCTGACATGGTAGCTTGCCTAGTGAATCATAAGTGAATGCCACCGAGAGCTGAGCTTTTTGCAGACATCATGGCATTAGCCCCACACCTTGGCCAAGCTCCAGCTTGGGTGATTCCACTTGGATACTTTAAATGCTCCTGGTCGCCTTTGCCAGGTGCAAAGCTGCACTCTTCTGCCTGCGAGTTTTTGGAGACTTGGGAGCTGTTAAACAGCTGCTGCTTTCATTCTCTGGCTGTTTTCTTGCTGGATGCAGGGGATTTGTGTGTAGATCCTGACTGTGGGACTGTGAAAGAGGCTCTGTTAATGCCAAGCAATTGATCTGCCAGTAAAGGTTGGCTTTATTTTTCCCATCAGCCCCTCTACTATGCTGGCTGCTGAGGGCTTTTATGGGGCGCAGTGTAACTAGTATTGGTTTTGGAGTGTAACAGTCAGCAGCTTAACTAGAGTGATGGTTCATAAGGATATGGCTATAATTAGGTCAGACTGTCTTGTTTGTTAAATTCTCATTCAGCTCCCAAACTTGGCAGTGGGAATGAACTTTGGGCCTTTTTTAGGATTGCCGTCAGTCTCCCCTGGCAAAGAGCATTGGGAAACAGCGCCTTTGCTCTTCTCCTCGCTGCTGGAGCCTGTGGGCACGGGCGCACTGTTGTCCTCTCTCTCTCACAGAGGCTGCTGAGCTGTCATGGGGAACACCACCAGTGAGCGAGTTTCTGGGGAGCGCCATGGCTCCAAGTCCCACCGCTCAGATGGCTCCGGTGCCCCACACCCCACCAAGGAGCACCCACACAAGATCATGGTGGGCAGTACCGACGACCCCAGTGTTTTCAGCTCCCATGACTCCAAGGTAAAAGCTGGCCACTGCCTTCCCTGTCCTATTCTCTGGGGCTTCAGCTCACTGGCTGTGCGGTGCTGTGCTCCCAACCATGTGAGGGGTCTGTGGAGAGCTAAGAGGCTGGAGGAGCTCTGTTGTGCTCTTGTCTGGGATGTGCTGGTGGGCTGGTAGAGGCCAGGGGGAAGTGAATGTGGTCCTGGTTGTCTCTGTCTCAGTCAGACTCTGGTTTTCTTTGCTCAGATTGCTGGGGACAAGGAGTTTGTATCGTGGCAGCCAGATCTGGAGGAGTCAGTGAAACCATCCCAACAGGCTCGTCCCACTGTCATCCGCTGGGCTGATGGAGGCAAAGAGGTCTTCATCTCTGGATCTTTCAACAACTGGAGCACCAAGATTCCACTTATCAAGAGGTACTTAGTCCCTCAGGTCACTCTGTGTCCTCGTCTGCTCCATTGCAGGGATTGTTTTCCCTTCTCCATGCTGATCGCTGTTCCTTTTGCTCACCTGGCTTTTCTCAGCTCACCCGAGCTAGAGGGTCTGAGCACAGATATGTGGTCAGCTTCTTCCCTGGGTGGTGCTGCAGTGGCAGTGGGAAGTTGTGAAAAGAGGGACAGGACAGGATGGGCTACTTTGCTTGTCCAGTTGGATGTCACACAGCAGCTAGTCCTGGCAGCAGAGCCCTGCCCAGGTACGCAGCAGTCATCTGGAAGCTGTCAGCTCTTCCCTTGGCTGTGGCCTTACCCCATGCCTAGTTGTGTTGTTGCCAGCAGGGGTTGTTTGTTTGTCCCTCACATGTCTTCCTGCCCTAATGATGTTCCCGCTGTTTCGCAATACATCTGTGATTTCCGTGGAAACGCTGTGTAGGACTCTGGGCATAATCCCAGAAAATCCTCTGGAATGGATTTATCTCAATTGCAGGCTTCATGAGCAGAGCAGTTACATTTGCTGCCCCTGTCCTGCAGTGCCGGCACAGGGTTAGATGCTTTGCCCACACATCCTCCCCAGTGTGTCTTGCACAGAGTGTCTGTCATATTGACTTTCCCTGGGCATGCAGGGCTAGAGTGCCTCTTGCGCTCCTTGCAGCTGGACTCCCAGGGGTTTGAACCACGCTAGTGCTCTGAGCGCTCGTGCCTGTTATGTCCATGCCTCAGATCAGTGACAAGGAGCAAGCCTAACCCTGCATAAAAGTGTTGGGGTGGAGGGGCTGGGCAGTACCTGAAAAAATGCTGTTTTCTGGGACCCCATGGAAGAGCAGCATCCAGAGCATCAACAGAGTAATGCTGTTGCACTTCTCTTTGCACAGCCACAACGACTTTGTCGCTATCTTGGACCTCCCAGAAGGAGAGCACCAGTACAAATTTTTTGTGGATGGCCAGTGGGTCCATGACCCATCTGAGGTAACACTCCAAGTTTATCCCTGCAGATCTTCTCTTCTTCCAGGGACTAGATGTGATGTAACTGCAGCAGAGGGGGAGCGGGAAGAGCAGAGAGTACCTTCCAAGGGACATCTCCATCCCATGAGTCCTTTCAGGGGCTGGTTTCTCTGGGCTTAGACATGCTGTATGGGGGAATCTTGGGAAGGTACTGAGGGGTAGGGAAACACCAGAAGGCCTTTAAGTCCCATTGAGAATTGGCTACATGGGAAGATGGGCTGTGGGGTCAGCACTCACTTTCAGATTCTCCTCCAAACTGAACCACGTGGTAGCAGCATGAGGAGAGGACACTTACCCATCAGCATGTAGCAGGACAGAGGATGAAAATAGGAGGTGATGTAGGACCCTGGGAGTAAAGGGAAATTCTCCCAGGGTAAACAGCAGAGATCTGCAAGTGGTGCCAAGCTATGCTCTGAGGTGTGCAGCAAAGGCAGCTTGGGCCAGGAAGATCTAGGAAGCATTGAATGTGCTTCAGTTGGAGGTGGACATAGGAAGACTCTTACCTCAGTTCTTTCCAGCCTGTGGTCACCAGCCAGATGGGGACGATTAACAACCTGATTCATGTCAAGAAGTCTGACTTTGAGGTGTTCGATGCTTTGAAGGTGGATTCCCTGGAGAGCTCAGAAACCTCAGGTCGGGGTGAGTTTTTGTGGCATTACAGCTTTGCATGTGCTATTTGCTGTGAGGCTCACTGCTCTGGGGGTGAACAGACCTCCTGAGCAGAGGTGTGGGCCTGCACCTGGGAAGATTAGTGTTAGGCAGCGTGTCCTCAGCAGCCTGAGGCCTCATCTCTGTGGAGCATCTGTGCTGGTGTAACTTGCTCTGTGCTAGCACTGTCCTAGAGCAGGGCCAGTGCCTGTGCACGGCTGAGGCAGCCATTTCAGTCTGGTGAACTCCAGGATCATCAGCTCTTTCTGTCTGCTCAACTGTGAGTAAGTCATCTGATCTGGGGTACAAGCTAGATGAGAGCAGGATACAGGTTATTTTCAGCAGCTACTCTTGGTTTTCATGCCAAGGTAATTTGTACTAGTGCTAGCACATTGGAAACCTCCCTGTCCACTTGTGTTACAGCAGCAGGTTAGGTTACCACACAGACACTGGCATTGCTGGCTTGGTGTGTAATTTTGGCAGGTAACTCAGTCGTGTTTTGGTCTGGGGCATGCTGAGTGCAGCTGCCACCCCTGGTACAAACCTTGTCTCAGATACAGCTCAGACAGAGCTCAACTCAGCATCCTTGCCCAGCCTGGGCAGGACATCCATCATTGGGAAGAAGCCAGCAAGCAGCAGCAGCTCCAGGGAGGTGGAGCCCTTCTGTGTATTGGTTGTTCTGAAACGATCAGGTCAGATGTGGCCGGGAGATACGGTCAGCCCAGCTTCCCATGGTCCCTCACATGGGGTGAGCAGCTGCTCACGCTAGGCTTCCCCTTTGCCCTTTCCAGAACCTCATCGGGCAGCCCTGCAGCCCTGAGTGCGGAGGGGTGCTGCTTGCTGTGCCCTGCTGCAAAGGGTACAGCTCTGAGGCAAGCTGGCTGCTTGCTGCAGGGAGAGGGACCCAGCTGTGTAGAGCTGCGTGTGGGGGTCCTGGGGTGGATACCGCAGGGTGCTTGTGCTGTGTCAGAGCATGTACCAGCTTGCAGCCGTGCTTGGAAATGCCCAGGGCTCGCCTTGCTGCTTATTCCACTGTGAAAAGGCCAAGCTGTTGCTGGAGGATACATGGCCATGGCTCATAGAAGACGTTTGTGCCTGAAAGACCCTGCTGGGTCCTTCTCAGCTTCTTGAGAGCTGCTCTGTGCTCGCCCATGCTGCTTTAGCCATTTCACACTCCTTCTTTCTCTTCTCTTTAGACTTATCAAGCTCACCACCTGGACCTTATGGCCAAGAGATGTACGTATACCGGCCTGAGGAGCGCTTCAAATCCCCACCCATCCTCCCGCCTCACCTCCTCCAGGTCATCCTGAACAAGGACACCAATATCTCGGTGGGTACCAGCATACTGCCTGCACACAGAGCACCACACCGGGGTTGGAAGGGGAGTCCTGTCTGCAGGGAGCCTGGTCTCCTTGGCTGAGGTCCAGTCCTTGGCACTTCCCTTAACCACGCTGGTTTGCCCCCTTGCTCTGCCTGATTGTTTGCTGAGCTCGGTTCCTGTGTGGAACAGCCAGAGACACCAGTGGCTCAGAATGCAGCTCCCTGTGATGGCTGGGGCTGGGGGTGCAGGCCTCCGCTGTTCCCGTGTGACACTCCTTTCCTCCTAGTGTGACCCTGCGCTGCTGCCCGAACCCAACCACGTCATGCTCAACCACCTCTACGCGCTCTCCATCAAGGTAAGGGCAGCAGGGGGTAAGATGCAGGCAGGGGAGCTCCTGTGGCTCCCCGGAGCCTGCAGAACCTGGACAGTATGGGGCTGGAGATGGTGGTGCAGGGATCGGAGGACCCATGCCAGGACAGCATGGCTGCCTGCTGAAGCAGGGCACACTCAGGGCTGTATGTTGTGGGTTTCCTTACGGTTCCCTTGAGCTGCTGTGCACCAGAGCCTGCCCTGGCTCTGCTCTGGCTCCCTGTCGTGGGGGTTGCACGTGTCTCGCTGGCTGTGAGACTGAGAACAGCAGGGACAGGCTGGGGCTGCTCCCCAAGCCCACCAAGCCTTTCTGACGGCTGCTAGGGGGTGCCCCACGCCCGGGTTGGCGCAGCCAGGCTGTGCTGAGCTCTCCCTTCTGCTCCCACTGACACGGTGGCTCTCGCAGGACGGCGTGATGGTGCTCAGTGCCACGCACCGCTACAAGAAGAAGTATGTCACCACGCTGCTGTACAAGCCCATCTGAGCCGGGGCCTCGACCGCCCTCCACGCAGGACGCGAAAAGCCGCTTTGTCTGCACATGCTGGGCCACGGGACTGTGTGAGAACTGGCCACTGGCTCCAGCCTTGAACCTGGCAGGGACACAGGCCCAGATCACAAGCCCAGGGCCACTGGGCCCTCTGGCACTGTCCCATCCTACTGCTGTGGTTTGATTTAACCCTTGGATTCTGCCCACCTACAGCTCCCCTTGGCTTCTCTGAGTCCCTGGGGCCACTTTGCTGCTCACCAGATTAGCCTTTCCTCATGGCCAACATGGAAAGGGCTTCACCCTCCCCATCTTCTCCAGGCTGCAAGGGCCCCGAGGCAGCCCTGCCACTGCCCCTGGCCCGGGCCTCCAGGAACATGTCCTGCCTGCTGAAGGTTTCTGTGATGTCCTGGTGATGGGCCTCCAAGGCCACCTTGACCCCAGGGGCTCTGGGACACCCCAGCCTGTCACCTGCCCCCCTCCTTGTGCTCCCTGCATTTTCAGAGGGCTCTCAACTCTGGCTGCAGCCCCAGCCCTCTGCCAGGTTCAGCGAGGAGCCAGCAGGAGCAAGGGCAGAGCCGGCCACAGCCACACTTGCCTGCTGCTGGGACAGCACTGTCGAGGACTGAACGCCCCATCCCCAATATCGAGTGGTTCCACAGGGCAGAGCTGACGTCACAGCCCGGGGGACCCCTGCATACACTCACGCAGAGGAGGCCTGGGGGGAGCAGAGCAGAGCGGGTACCCCCCAGCCCCAGCTACACCGCCTGCTGCCAGAGCAGTGCCATACAACAGGGTTTTCTCTATTTATTACAGTATTTATTGTTCTCGGTGCTGCTGGCCTGGTGTTGGCGGAGGGCTCTGAAGCAGCAAGGGGAAGGGAGTGCTCATTGAGGTGTGGAGCTGTCGTTGGGGTGCTGGGGTGGGTGTCAGAGCCACCCCCTTGGGGCCAGGTGGTACCTATGACCCCCCCCCCCCCTCCCCGTGCTGTGGGTGGCTTAGGGAGGCGGGAGCATGGCTGCAGAGACGGGCATGCCAGAAACACCACAACCCAAAGGAAACCTTTATTGGGGATTTCCCAGCCACTCAACAGAATGTGGCACTTCTTACATCTTCCTCCTGCACCATGGCACCAACATGCCTGGGGAGCCCCAAGAATGCAGCTCCCATACTTCTGTCTATATACATATATCCACGAGCAGGGACGGGTACATGGCAGGGTTACAAATGGGACCAGGTCCTGGGGCAAGAGGTGCTGTGACGCCCCACTCTAAGCACTGTGAGTGGAAGGGGGCAAGCACTGAAGCACAGGGCAAGCAAAGCCTAAGCCAGCAGCTGCTGTGATACCAAGCGAAGGTGGGCAGAGACCATACGACCACCACAGAAGCCCAAACCCGCAGCACTGGGGACCACAGACTCTTGTCCACCCCAGCCCTCGGCAGTAGTAGGGACAGGGTTTGCTCCAGCTCTCCAGTGTGGCACGGCTCGGCATCGCTCCCTGCCCTGCCAGAGGCTCATGTGACAGGCAGGGCCTGCTGGGCCTTCACCTGGTGAGAGAGCATGTGGTGGCATGGGGACACAGGCTGGGGACAGCCAAGGAAAACAGGTCCCTGTGTGCCCCCACACACACGCTGCACCCAGTTGCCCTCTCAGCACCCCTGTCAGACAGTGCTCTGCTGGCAGAGCATGGGGGCATCTGCCCCTATCCTGTGCTGGCTGCCAGGGCAAACTCACCTCCAGGTTTGTCCTGGCCTTGCGCAGCACATTGTGGGTCCTGGTCACTGTGAGGGAGAGAGAGGGACAGCATCAGTGAGGTCCCTGTGCCGTGGAGCCACCCCAGGCCCATGTGTACCAGGCCAGCTTGGCCGTGCCACCCCACAGCAGGAGGCCACCCGGGCCACATACACTGGCTCACTATGAACTGCTCCATGCTGTCCTTGAGCTGGGCTGTGCCACGCAGCTGCTCAACTGTGCTCCGCAGAGCATCCTCCCTCTCGGACAGCTGGGCCCGCAGCGCCGTGATCTCGCCCTGTAGCTCCTGCTCCTGGGACGAGACAAGCGCGATGAGCAGCAAGCGAGCATCCAGCCTTGCCGGCCACCAGCCCCGTGCTTACCTTGCCCTGGTGCTGGGCAGGGCCGACGGGCAGCACAGTGCTCCAAAAGGCAGCAAGAAAAGATGCACACTCCTCCAGGACGCGGTGCAGGGTGCTGGCGCTGCCCCAGAGGTGCCCTGCGCCTGCCCACCCCAGGGCCTGTGGGAGAAGGGTGCGGGAGCGGGTGCTGCTGGAGCACCCACATCCCACTGCACCCGGGGACTCGCTGTGCCCAGCCCAACACGGCAGGGCAGTGCTGGCAACAGCCCCCAGCCTGGGGGCTACCTGCCACTTGCTGGCCCTGCAAGCCTCAGGGCTGATAGTGGGCTCAGGAGCCGCTTTACACATGGGCCACGGAGGGTCTGGCCTCCCGCTGCCGCCAGCCCCGTCCTGCCTATGTGTTACCTCCTTTCCCGGGAGCGGGCAGTTGGGCAGCCCGAGGGCCGGGCGCGTGAGACACATCAGCTTGTGGGCCAGCGCCTTCCCTTCCAGGATGTGCTGCTCTAGGGCCCGGTAGGTGTCCAGGCGGCCGACGACATGGGCCCCCATCAGTCCCTTGGTTTTGCTCACTAGTGGGTCTACCCCACGTGCCTCTGTAGGACAAGCAGGGCTACATGAGCACTGCCTGCTCCTGCCATGGCCCTCCCTGTCCCATCCCTGGGAGCTTGGCTCTGCCCTGGGCTCTCCAGCCTTGCTCAGCAAGGGTGCTGCCACGTCTTTGTCAGGTCTTGGCAGCCCCTGGGGCACGCCTGTGGGCAGGCTCCGGTACCCACCATCCATCTGCCGGGCCACCGATGTGTCAGAGGGCAGCGGGGAGAAGAGGGGAGCTGCTGAACTTGTGCCAACATCCCGCACTGGAGGAGATGGGAAGCAGCCTGGAACAAGAAGCATCAGCCCCTTGCAGCTGGCTATGACTGCCTGGGGCTGTAGCAGGCCTGCCCTCCCTCGATGCCTGCCAGCAGGGCCACCATGTCCCTCCTGCCATCAGGGTGGGGTCACCCAAGAGTTGCAGAGGGGCCAGGCACTCCCAGACCAGGAGCTGGGCAGAAGGGTTGGCAGCGAGGGTTTTAGGGGGCTGGATGTGGGTCCAGTACCTGCACGGGTCTCGGCAGAGGGGCCAGGGAGGCTCTCATAGACGTGCAGCTCTGCGCGCAGGGTCTGCAGGAGCACACGATGCTCCTCACACTGCTGCTGCAGGAGCGTCACTGTGTGCTGCAGCCTGCAGAGGGGTGACGTGGGGCCAGTGCCAGACATTGCCACCCAGCCCTACTGGCCCCAAGGCCACAGTGCCCCAAACTTTACCTGTTGTTGTCCTCCTGCAGAGAGCGCCGCTCTTCCCGGAGCTGCCGGACACCCTCTTGATGCTTGGCAAGCTCCTCCACCAGCCTCTGCTGCTCCCCACACCTCTGGCCCAGCTCTGCTTCAGCCTCCCGTGCCCGGGAGCAGGCAGCCAGGAGTGCCTCCTGCACCCGTGCCAGCTCTGGGAACAGAGAGCATGGAGGTGTCACTACCACCCTGCTCAGCCAGTGCCCTCCTGGGTTCAGACCCAGGGTGCTGGTGGCCTTGGCCCTACCTTGGGAGAGCTGGTCACGCTGGAGCCGCAGGGTCCGGTTGTCCTCGTGCAGAGCCTGGTTCTCCTCGCTCAGCTGCAGGCCCGGCTCCAGCGTCTGGGCGCAGACATCTCCAGGCAGTCCTGCAAAGCATGATTGGTGTTGAGCATCTCTCCCCAACACCCCGCTGTGCACGGGGCAAACACCCTCCCCGTGCAGTGAGGCATGCAAAGCCCAGGCCCCCCGGCAGCCCTGGCCCCCGTGCAGCACCGTACCGCTGGCCTTGCTGGTGGAGGCCAGGCGGCGTTCGAGCTGCTCCCGGAGCCGGTCATTGGTGCAGATGGACTCCTCGAGGCGCTGGCGCAGGCTTCGGATCTCCACCAAGTGTTCCTCCAGCAGGTCTGCGCCTACCACAGACGAGGAAATGGCTCAGGGCAGGGGTGGCTGTGCCACGTGCCTCAGGCCATTCCCACTATCCTGCCCCACACCAGAGACGTGTCCCACAGCCAGGTGCCAGGTCTCCTCCCTGCTCCCCACACCCAGGCAGGATGCCCCCATGCTCCCCAACATGGACCTTACCTGTTAGCCTCTGGCTGGAGGGGTATCCCGACGGCAGGGCCCCATCAAGCAGCTGGCCAGGAGGGGGTACGTCCCAGAGTGTGCGGGTCTCCTTGGCCCCGGAGATCTCAGCCAGGCTCTGCAGTGCACTGTGTTGGCAGAGCAACGCTGGGGCTTTGCTGCCCTCTCCGAAGGGGCCCAATGGGGCTGTGGGCTTTGCTGGTGCCATGGGCAGCGTCACATCTGCACGCACAGGGCAAAGCAGTGAGGAGGAGGAGCAATAAGCAGGAAGGAAGAATAGGGGTAACACACCTCTGCCATGTGCTTTTTGCCCCCTTCTTGCTCTGCCCAACAGCACAATCCAGTGTCCCCCATCACTGACCTCCTGTCCTGGTCAAACCCATTCCTCCTGAGGAGCAGAGGCTCTCCCAGGGACTTGCTGATTATGTGACCCAAGTTGGAGGGTCTCAGCCCCACTCCTACACAACAACTGACCAAAGCAGCCCTTTCTCAGAGGCCCTAGGACATGCAAGTGCCCACACCAAGGGCTAGTGCTGCCTCAGGCTGTGTCCATCCCACCCACCAGGTCCTCTCTATGTGAGAGCCACGTGTCCCCATTGTTCCCCAGCCAGAGTGATGGGACCCAACCACAAAGCAGTAGCCACAGGAAGCAGGAGAAGGGCCAGGGCAGGACAGGCAGGTTAGAGGGGGTGGGGGGCCATGCGGCACAGCATGGCACGGCACAGCACAGCATGGCACAGCACAGCGTGGTGCACAGGGCAGGCAGGACCAACCACATGCCGGAAGCACACGCTCACTTTCTCCCAGCTGCCTCCGGAGCACCTGGAGTTCCTGCTGTGCCTCAGCCAGGGAGCAAATGGGGGTCCCGCAGCAGCCCAGGAGAGGGGAAGCTGCGGGATGGGGGGGCCCAGCAGGCAGGAAGGGGGGCAGCCCAGGGGTCAGCACAGGCAGGGAGGCATTAACAGGTTTGGACAAGGAGTTGAAGTGAAGGCCTAGAGATGGAAGAGAGATTGAGAGAGATGTTAGCGCTGCTCTGGCTCAGCCTAGCAGGGACTCCCCCTCCCCGGGGGCACTGGGGGCCCTGGCACAGCCTGAGCAGCCCAGTCCCCCTGTCTGGAGGCACTGCAGGCTAGGATGGCCCACACAAGGTGGGTCAGATCCCAGCCTTGCAGGGCTGTGGTACAATGGCAGGGCTCCCTGAGAGGCTCCCCTGCAGCCCCAGGTGCTGTGTGCTCACCCCCCCGGCTGGCACTGGGGCACGGTGCCACATGGCCAGTCTCTGTCCAGGGTGCTACGGAGGTGCTGCACATCCCCAGCCCGTGGCTGTGGCCCCGGGCACCCTGCAGTACCTGCGAGTCGGGCAGGCTCCTTGCGACACTGGCTGCACTCGCTGGCCACGTCCCCATCCGAGCAGGGCTCTAGCCCCTCGGACACGAAGGAGGAGCTGGTAGCAGAGCGGGATGACTCGGAGGGCGGGTGGCTGCTGTCTGGGGACTCACAACGCTCCTGCAGCTTTGCTTCCAGGCTCTGAATCACCTTCTCCTTCTCCTGGAGCTCCTGGCTGAGCCTGCAGAGGTGGCCCATCACCAGGGCTGGCAAGGCAGGGTGA